TTTTTTTTTTTTTTGTTACATTTACTGCTCTTGCAGCTATTTTAGTCTGTATTTTAGTTTAATGCAAACCTCTTCGGGATCATTAGAAACAAAAATTTTTGTTGTTATTGTAATTCTTCATTGGGTAATAAACGGTTGAAGCAATAATATAGAAAAATATTCTTTATTTGCTTATTGAGGAGAACAGCATTTTTTTTTTTAAACCCATCGGCATTTTGTTGTTAATCGAAACGGATTTGTTTTTGTAGTTGTTGTTCTGTTGTTTTTCATCGGCAAATAACAAAAAAATTTTTTCTTTTTTGCACTTAGTTTACAGATGTATCATCCAGCCGGTGCTCGGCAAAAGGACGTCTCAACACGGCTGATCAAGCCTACATTACCAGACATCAACACAAATATTGTTCTTGATCTGGTTACCAACTGGAATTCCGCCTGGGAAGTTGATGGAGGCATTTCAGTAAGTTTTTTTGAACACTGGAAAAAAACAATTGAGAGAGCAGAGTTTTTTTAATGGTAATTTTCTGTATAAAAAAAAAACATTTGTTTTTTACGTATTCATAGCTATTGAAAGCTATTGAACTGACGGCAATTAATTTTATGTTTCTTCTTAACCATTATTTACAATCCTGAGCAGTTAAAAAAAACTTCATAACTTTGTGTTCAAGAATCAGCCTTTATTTTTTCTTCTGGTTTACCAACCGGTCAGTAAACAAGCTGTAGTGTAGTGGTGTACAATAATCAGCTGATCCGGTCGAGGAGTTTTTAGATTTACGATGAAGGTATAGCACAGTATTTGTTAACAGATATGCAGTCACATGAAAAGTTTTTTGCTGCCTTAATATTAAGAAAACCCAGTTTACGGTGTCGGATAACCAATGAAGAGCCAAAAGATGTACTTGACGAAGAACGAGGGAACCGATTCACCTTTGTAAGTCACTTTTTTTGCCAAATGCTCTTATTAATTTTCCGAATTTCTGAATCATTTTGGCTGACCATACATAAATGCTCTGAGTTTAAAGAAGTGCGTTATTTTGGAATTAACAAAAAATGGAGAAGTGTAAATTGCGGACACCTTGGGTAGATTTAAAAGGGTTAAAGCTCTTAAATGTTCTTAAATGTCTAGAGTGGTTTTTGAGGCACTTCTTGTACAAAAACCTGAAAAAAAGAGGGATTTGAAAAAGTCTTCTTTGTTTTTTTGTTCTTTACCAGTTATCATTGATTCACCTCACAAATTGTTGTTGTATGGATTCCAGCACTATACCATTACTAGAAGACTGTTCTTTCACTCACGATTAAAGTTTTATTTTAAGGACTAAAGTTCTATCACATTTCTATGACTATATGAAAGGATTCTTTGAGTGTAACATGTAAAGGCAATAATTTGCCCGAAAACTTGTATTATGTCAGTAGCAGACTCTCAATTCCTTTGAAGTATGAGTCTAAAAAAGTTAGTTAAACTACATGATTTTCGGTGGCCATCTGAACATTCCTTTTATGTAAATTTTTCGAACGTATCTTCAGAGCAAAGGCTGACGATCTCCTCTGCGCATTTGTTGATAGGCTGAAAAGCGTGGGTTTTGTAACTGATTAAGCAAGGAAACCAAAAGCGAGGGATAAAATACTAAAAACTAAAAATAACCAAGCGTAGATGTGCTGGTGAGCTTGGCAATTATCTTTTATGCTTATCCTCTATCCGCAGTGGGAACATCTCAAATTGAAACTGAAAAGTGAGGTAATCTGCAGCTGTTTAGTGTTTACATTTTTTCGGTCATTTAACTTACAATGAAAAAAACAGAATTGTTTGTCCATTGTACTTCACTGAAAGTGTTTTAAATGATAGAGAAATGGGAGAGGTGAAGGGTAATTCGTAGCGTGAGATGTTTTTTATTATTCTTTTTTTTTAGCTACTCGTTTTTAGAGGAGTGTGTAAAAGCCGTTACCTGTTTGACTGGTAGTAGTACTTTAAAGTGAATTTGCTTAATTGGGGAAGTTTAAATTTATTTGACTTTTAAAACAATATTGGATTGAAAGCCAGGTTGAAACCGAGGCATTGTGAAGTTTTTGCGGACAAAAAATCTTTATTTACGAGATTTTAAACCGTCATAGGTCGAGTAGTTTATGGCAGTAACACTGTACCTGCTTTATCAAACTAACATACTACCATTTTTCCTAAATAATGACGGTTTTTTAAATTAAACACCTGTAGGGAGGTTTAACGTTACCTATGGATTTTTTGGCTTGCTCAGTGTGGAAGTGATTAATACATTTTCAGTATATTCTAGAAATTCACTTTTTAATGCTTTTTCAGCATGGTCACGATACCGGGGCGCTGAGTGAAGCACAACTGAAACAACTGGAATTCCTCAAAGATGTTTTAAGGAGACGAGGGTATCGTTTTGAAAACTGATTGAGCAAATTTTTAACTACGGAATATGAGAAACATCATTTCGATCCTGATATTGTGTCATTAATGTTGACGTACTTCCCAGTGTTCTTGATTGGGGAAGCTGCCATACCAGTTTTTTCAATAGTAACTTTGTAACACTTTTGTCGAGATTTGTTATAGATTTATGAAGTACTAGACTGGAACTGTAAATAGTTGTTTATTGGTTTATATGAGAAATATTTAGGGGTAGTCTTACTGAAGTGCTAAAAAGTGATCGTGTTTTAAAAAAGCACTCGCTCCACACCCCATTACAAATATATCTTTGAAATGATGAGAATGCTTCTAATATATACTTTAATTTTTCTCTTTCGTTGTTTTTGAAGAGTGAAAGAAATCGCAATTCTCAGATGTCCTTTATCATCTTTTCAGAATTTCTACATTGTTAAACGCTTTGCCGATGAATTTTAAGCCATTACTTTCAGTTATTCAAAAAATATTGCTTTTTTTCTCCGACTATAAAAAAGTGCATTCATTTATTCATTTTTTTTCTAATGGAAAGACCGTTCGTTTTATGCTGATGTGTTTTTACCAAAGAACTCATAACAGTTAGTTTAATAATAAAGTCGGAATCGTGCTGCTGATATAAAAAATTAGTCAGTGGTGTCTAAGACTAAATCGTTTTCAATTTT